GTCGTCGCAAGGTCGCAGGAATACCACCCACGCCGGACCCGTGCTAGCGCTCAGCATAGCTGTTGCCTTGGCCTCCCTCCTCCAACAAATGCAGCAGTAGCATCCCATCTTACCCCACCTCATCTTGCACACCAAGCAAAAGCAAAGGCAAAGCATAAGCGCCCGATCCCTTTTCATCCCATTCTTTGCGCCCCCAAGGGCACGTCCTAAAGTCTACTCTATCCCAGCGCAGCAAGAGCATTAGCCATGGCCGCCTGCAGGTGAATCGTGCCGATACCCAAGAGGAAGAAGCTGATCGTCTTGGTTCCCAGCATGAAATCGTTAGCGCGTACCCTATCCACAAGCAAGTCCATCGCGCAACTGATTTGTCTAGCCAGAGCAGTCCAACCAGCCGACGAAGCGGGCGCAGGAATTCCCAGACCCATAAAGATGGGAGAGAGCTGATCCGGCAAAGGTGCCAGGAGATCTCGAGATGCCCAATAGGCCAGACGATCCAACGTCGTTTGCCAGAGCAGCAAGAGCAAGATGGGATGCAGCGCCAATAGCATCGCTGCTTTTCCCGTCGACCAGAGGCGCAGGCGGATAGTAGGCGCAGACTCGGAAGAAGAGCGAGGTTGGAAAAAGTATAGTGGTGCCCCTAGCATGATACCGCTCAATGCAGCTAGGGAGAAATTGAGCGTGCTCACGCTCGCAATGAGCATTCCGGCATGTAGCTGCGTGAGCGCGTGAAGCGTAGGTGGCAAGGGCGAGCTTGTTCCCGGCGCACGGGTACGTTGCAGCGCGGCAAAGCTTGCGCAAAGGAGCGCAAAGGCGCCGAGTAAGAGCACAGCGATCCATCGGATCTCGTCGCATTGCCAAAGGCCTTCTTTTGCGCATTGCAAAGGCGCGCTGCCCATCAACCACAGCGTTGCGGCCGCCAGAGCATGCATCGTCACAATGACAGTCAATGCTGTCCCAGTAGGTCTTTGCGTGCCGCTCAAGCTCTGATCCATCTTGGCTAGTCTGGAAGGAGTCAAGAGCGCACCGCTCGAGGCATACGATTCCAGCAATGTCGCTCTGTAATGTTGCATCGTCGGTCTTCTGAGGGGTACATCCGCTGCTGCCGTCATGCTCGCCAGCACATCATTCCCCGCGTTCGCTTTTGAGAGCGTAGCAATAGACCTGTTGATGAGCTCTTCAGCGCGCGCTCTAGCTTCTCTGCCTTCTCTATTCCAAAGAAGCAGTCCGGCGCACGAGAGGGCCACGGCGGGCAGAATGGCCGTAGGTAGCAGCGTAGCAAACTGGACAAACTTGTCCGCTTCCGTGACGAGGTAGAAGAATTGCGAGTGGTGCAG